TTCGGAGTCCCCAGTATCAGCTGAGACCTTTTCGATCATTTCGGCACAATTTATAATACAATTTTAGAAAAACATATGTACGTGTGTCTATGTACATATTTCAAATTGTTAATAATCATTTTTTCTCATATTTGTCAATCTTCGTCATCTCATCAATCAATATTCGTGTACTGCCCTTTGGTGCTTTGAAAAATTTGATTTCAATCCCAATTTCCTCTTAGCTAAATCTTTGCCGTCCTCGTGTACTGTCTTTAGATGAAGAAGCATATTACCTTTTTGTGTAAATTTCTTCTCGCACTTGTCACATGAATAATCTTTTCGACCATCATGGACTGTTCTTTGGTGGATAACCAAATGGTTTTTATTTCCAAATCTTTTCTCACACTTGGCACATGCGAAATCTTTACGACCTTCGTGTACTGTCTTTTGGTGGGAGAGCAAATTTGGTTTGTGTGTAAATTTCTTCTCACACTTGTCACATGCAAAATCTTTTCGACCTTCGTGTATCGTCTTTTGGTGATTAATTAAACTTGATTTGTGTCTAAATTTCTGCCCACAATTGTCACATGCGTAATCTTTGCGACTTTCATGAACTGTTCTTTGATGTCGGTTCAAAGTTGCTTTTCGTCCGAATTTCTGCTTGCAATTGTCGCATGCAAAATCTTTTTGTCTTCCATGGACTGTTCTGGTGTGCAAAAGCAAATCACTTTGATATCCGAATTTTGTTTCGCATTTGTCGCATGCGTAGCCTTTGCGACTTTCATGGACTGTCGCTTGGTGGACAAGCAAAGACTGTTTATGTCCAAATTTCTTTTCGCATTTGTTGCATGCATAATCTTTACGATCATCATGGACTGTCGCTTGGTGGATAAGCAAAGACTGTTTATGTCCAAATTTCTTTTCGCACTTGTCGCACACAAAATCTTTTTGATTTTCATGGACTGTCTTTTGGTGCCTGGTCAAATGAATTTTTTGACCAAATTTCTTCTCACACTTACCGCATGCGTAATCTTTGCGACCTTCGTGGACTGTATTTTGGTGTATAATCAAAATCGATTTTCTTCCAAATTTTTTCTCGCAATTGTCACATGCGTAATCCTTAAGACCTTCATGGACCGTCGTGTGGTGGATAAGAAAATTTTGTTTCAGTCTGAACTTCTTCTCACGCTTGTTACATGTAAAATCTTTACAATCTTCGTGTACTGTCTTTTGGTGGAAGAGCAAACTCGATTTGTACATAAATTTTTTTTCACACTTGTCACACACGAAATTTTCGTAACCGTCATGGACTCCCTTTACGTGAGCGAGTAAACTCTGTTTTTTTGCAAATGGCTTGATCAAATCTGATTTTATTCTCAATTTGTTCTCACATTTGTCCCATGAAGGATCTTCGCAACCTTTATGGACGATCTTTATGTGCAGGAGCAAACCGCGTCTATTTCCAAATCTCTTGGCGCACTTTTCACATAAGTAATCTTTGAAAACTTCGTGGAATATTCTTTTGTGCTTAAGTAAAGTTGATTTATTTTCAAATTTCCTCTCACACTTGTTGCACGTGAAATCCTTGCGATCCTTATGTACTAATTTTTGATGCGTAAACAAACTTGATTTTTTCACAAATTTTTTCTCGCAATTGTTACATGCAAAATCGTTGCGGCCTCTATGTTCTGATATTTGGTGCCTACTCAAATGACTTCGAAACTCGAATTTCTTTTCGCACTTGTTGCAGGTGTAATCTTTCTGTTCATCGTGAATTGTGTCTCGGTGTGCTATCATACATGATTCTAGTGTAAATGCCTCGTGGTAAATATCACGAACGTATTTTTTGTCGTCTGAAACAACAAGGTCTTCTTCACCTAAATTATCTTTTGAGACAACTTCCTCGGATTTTCTCTTACTTTCATCCATTATGCTGCTTAAAATAACCGTTGAATACTTCTAGTTAGTGCCACAGAAATGAAATGAATAAAATTTATCTTTTGGTATTAAAGGTTGATTCATCGGGAAAGACAACGGTCAAACTAATTTAGTTTCACTGTAAACATGATCAATGTATTCCAGGAACGATATCAAAATCGTTTATGATCAAATTGTTTACAATTGAATTACGAATTTATTCTTAAGTATACATTTTGCTGAAAATATTTGAATCAGTTTATAAAATTCAAATTTTGCGACATTTCTTCGGAGAATTTTTCGGCCTTCTAAAACTGAAAACTTGTAAAAAGTTCGGTGTCTGAATTTAACGATGGACCCGTCTATTTAGCGTTTAAGAAATTAGACCAGAAAAATTGATCTGTTTGATATCATGACTTATTTCATGGAGAAAAACAACATTCGAACTGATTTGATTTTACTATAAACACGATCAGTGTGTCGAGAGCCGATATCAAAATCGTTTACAATCATATGGTTTACCTATTTATACTTAGAATATTTGAAATAATCTAATATTCTAAATTATCAATGATTCCTTCGAGAACACACAAAAAACTTCGAGTTAATAAATCCTATGCATGCCTACTAAAAAATTTCGATGTTCATTCTAAAATTTTCCGCCCCCGCGCCACTCACTGATTCGCCACTACACGCATTAGTACGTACTATTGGGACTAAAAGCTGTGTAGTTTATCGTATCGGGCGGTGCTCGATCGTCTCAATGTAATCAGCGATATATACAACGTTTTTTATACACAGCTCCACGAGTTACAATGTTTGTACTGCAATATCTATGAACGCGTATCGTATATTATAAAGCGCACGCGGAAGTATAAACACAGGCTCGTTTCTCGCCGAGTATGTATTATCCGGCAGCTTCTTCGTCGACTCCGAAGGCGTATATAATACATAATATACCGCCGCGTGCTATGTGTGTACTTTACGGGACGAAAAGCTCTTCCTTCGCTCGCGTCTTATACGTGCCGTAGAAAACCTAAGATTTAATTAACGTCTCTATACGAGTCTATTATATAGGCGATTGCGTCTGTGTGAGTGCTAGTGTGTATGTACCTCCACGCGGGACCTCCTCGGCTCCAGGCTTTTCAATTAAGTTTGCTTTGTCCGGCCGGTCGGAGCTCGCGCTCGGCGGGAGGGCAAACGATATATCCTCCTCTCTACGTATATATATATCCGCGTGGCGAGGGACTCGTTTCCTTACTCATATATAATATTGGGATTTAATTCAATTTCGCGTATCGGTCGAATCAATCGGCCGCAGCGCGAGCGGCTTATTGCACATACGCAGAGACAACAGAGCTTCCGCTGCTGCGCGACAAAATCGTTTTATTTAAGATTAGTTTAGCGGTAATCTAGGCAGTAAAGGACACAACACAACGACGTGTATTAAATCATGCGAGAAAAAGAGATCGGTCTCCGAGGTATTTTTATCGTAGCGCCATATATGTTACAATTACGCATTATATATCTTTTGGTCCTAATTGATACATACAGATCGCAGCTTGTATTTTTCGTCGATTGTGCGAACGAGATTATATACATGTATAAGAAAGTGCAACATATAAATCAAGTGTACCTCGGCAATCAATTTGTTCGAGAGAGAAAACGTTTAAAACATCGCGTCCGGAAGAAATAAACTACTTTATAATATACACGCCCGAGTCTTTGTATCGTATACGTGTCGGGTTAATAAGATAAAGAGTGCGCGATGGTCAATCGCATCAATTGCTCACTTACATTATTGCATACATGCGTACTTTCTCCGGTCCTCCGGCGGCGACGCACGCGCGAACAATGAGATCTCGGCCCAGCACCTAGACGGACAAAGAAAGGGCCCTGCAGCGCAGGATCGCCTGCACTCGCCTTTTTCTTCTCATCTTTCTCGTTTATTATGCTCCTTATTCGCTTTTACTCGTTGTCGCGCGCGCGCGAAAGCTGCCGCACGCAGCCGGGCCCGTCGTCGTCGTCGTATTGTACGATGTCCTCCGACAGACTCGAGGCGCTCGCACTACTGTGCTCTAAAAGAGTAAAACGTGACCCCCTTTCCGTGCCGTCTGAGTGGGTTGAGAGAGAGAGACGCCGCGAGGTAAGCAACGAAAAATAAAAGAAAAGAAGTACTCCGTAGGTCGATCGTCGCTTTGAAGAAAGAGAGTCTCGCTCGCGATGCGATCGCGACGATATGCCAAGTTCGCGGATTAGAGATCGGGTCGCGCGCCCGCGCCAGCCGCACTGTATCATACTACTATACAGACAGTAAGTGTGCTATAATACGCGCGCGCGCGAGAAATAAAACGCAACTTGGCAACGCCGTGTATATATTAGTGGCCTCATGCGTATTATATATATACGTGTCAGAGAGAAAGAGAGCCCATCGGGCCTCTTGAGAAGCTGCACACAGGTATGTATATAATATAGGTGGACGTACACACACACACACACATGTTAAAGCTGCCATGCCTTGCTAGATATCGAGTCTGTGCCGCTGCTGCAGCTGTTGTCGTTTCTTCTTTCTTTCTCTCTCCGCGCCGAGAGCTACCTCCGATCTATACGTTATGCACTATATCTCATACTACTACTCGTTGCACCGTTGCTGCCCCTCCTGCTCTCCTGCTCGCGAGACCCCACTCGCGAAACTTTCCTCGTTGTCTCTTTCGCTCCGTCTTGTGATCCTTATATATACAACACGCGTACACACGCGTGTATGTACACTGTCTTGTCGTCCTCGTAGTCGTCGTCGTCGTCGTCGCGTCGGGCCCCAGTGTGTGTGTGTGTGTGTGTGTGTGTGTGTATGTGTGTGTGTACCTACGTATACACGCGTTTTATGTATTCTATATAGATATAACGAGTACGAGCGAGCGAGAAAGAAAGAGACTATACGAGAGAGCCTCCCTGGCGGGCCTCTCTCGACCAAGTCACGAGAGTATATATAATACACACACACACACACACACACTGACACGAAGAGAGGGGCCCTATATACGCGTCTCGTACCGGAGGCTCGAATCAGTCGCTCGTTCGCCAGCACGAGCCTCGCATCGTCTGTATATCATTCGTACAAAACACGCGTTTGTTATTGTTACACTTTTTTTGCACAACTCGATATCATTTTGAATTTGTATATCGGTAGCGGTGGTGCGCGTGTGGTATAACGATCGAGGAACCCGCAAATCCTCGATACTTGTGCGTGCGTTTATTTTTCGAGTTTTCTCTTTGTTGATAAATATTTTCAAAAACAAAAAAAACAAAAAAAAAACGTGATTGTCACGCGCACAGTATCAAAAAAAAAGGACATAAACAAGAAGCGAGGATATATAGCCGCTCGTTGCTCCTGTGTGTTACCGCAATCGGAATTGCCGCTGTGTGTCGACGACGACGACGACAACTGTCACACAACTTCGCATAACAACAGCGGCCTCGACTCACGACGTTTTTTCGAGAGACACAGGTGAGCACTGCACCGCGCACTTGACAACGACGACAACGGCGACGACGATGATCGACTCGCGCATTATATATTTACGCACTACCGCGTATATATACGGATGCACATCTGCGCTGGGGCCTGCAGTTTCTTCTCTCTTCCGGGCCGCCGCGACTATTGTTTTCCAACGACGAGATCGCAACCGGTCGTCGTCGTCGTGACACGGAAAAATCGGTTCCTGCGCACCGACAATTGCCCCTATGCGAGAGAGTGAGAGAGCTCGATCGCCATCTCTCGCTCTCTCTCTTTCGCTCTTTCTTCTTTATCTCGCGGTATACATGCAGACTCGTTTCTCTCGTCGCTGCTGCTCGTGCAGACACTATCGTAGCCAGCGAGTCTCGACGGATTTTCCTCTATATTATACGTTGGATCGGCGTATTATATATCGGCCGACGTTTAAGCTCCTTCCGAGTAAACGTAAATAAAATAAATACGTTATATTCATCCGATTCAAGGATCTATATAATTATCCAGTCATGCGGGATCGTCCGCTTTCGAGAGATACAGGTATATATACATTCAATAGCTGCACAGACAATTCGAGTATTATATATTATATGCAATTGTGATCGATGCACGAAACGCGCGTGTATCATAAAAATTGACAAAATGATATTTCCTTGGAAATTGATAGATCCGATATTCACCGCGTGTGCGTGCGCGAAGGTTAGAGCTGCAGTAGTAATACGCTATATATTTCGCTTTGTAAAAATAAAAAAAATAAAAAATGAAAGAGAACTGCGGCATACGGTACGAACGCACGAAACCGCGTGTACAGTAGCACACCACGCGAACGCACACACAGACATCCTCGTGTTTTTTTTTTTTACTTCTCTTTTTGCATTTATAATTATTGGACAATTTTCCTAGAAACGCATGCACATACATATAGGCCTTATATATGTATAGAGTCACGTGAATCTGTCCAGTGCACGCAGAGCCTAGTAAATATAATACATGTATACGTCGCACCGTAGACGCGAGGCTAATTAGCACGAGTACTCGCGCGCACGAGAGTCGATATCTCGCGTTATTATTATACTTTGTGCTCGCGCGAGCGAAATGCAAACATGCAAATACGCCTCGATATATGTGTGGCCGCTGTATTATATACCAACGTGGTGTTATATGTATATATATTTTTGCGCGCACAAGACATGCTGCTGCACGTTGCGGCCTGAGTGAAATTTATTCGGAACCGATATTTCACTTTTACTCTCGCTCTCGAAATCGGCTTATGTGCACTCGCATACACACACAGTTGCATATTATAACAGGCTGTGTGCGAGCTCGCGCGCCCAGGGCGTGCGCGAATTTTAATGCCCCTCATATCGCGCAGCGAGAGAGAGAGAGAGAGAGAGAGAGAGAGAGAGAGAGAGAGAGAGAGAGAGAGAGAGATAGAGAGACGTTTTTACACCGACGAGTGCAGCATGTTATAACAAAACCGAGCAGCTCGCACTGTATGGTCCGATCAGCTGCAGCAGCAGCAGAGAGAAATGACGTTAAAAAATTTTTAATGCCCTTCGCGAGCCCTGATCGTTAATCTTGCATAATTGCAACACGTATACCGGAACACAGCGGCGGAAATTCGCTTCTACAATATTTCTCTCTCTCTCTCGCTGTACACCCAACTTTTCACTGTATGGTTTACAGTATAACATACGTGTCGAGGATCACGCGCCTGTCACAGTCACACGCGCACGCACACACACACATCACGTATAAATATCTACACGGTTTTACGGTAATATAATTCAAGCGATGATGCGTTTCGCGCAAAATTCACGCGTGTAATATCGCGCGCGGCTTATAACTATTTGCGCGCCTATATGGATTTATCGGTTCAATAATGTATTAATGACGCGCCGATCGCGAGTGTAAAACGCACACGTAAATAAGTATAACGGGTATGCGTTGGCGTATACCCGTGTCCTCGCGTGTCCTGTAATAATACCGCGACGTATAGAAACATATAAATTTTTGTTTGATTTTTTTTTCGTTTTTTTTCCACGCGATGAGCGCGTGCGCGCGTCGATTTTCCGTTCTGTACTGTAATGCGGAGCCCCGCGCTCGCTCGCGCGAGAAATGTTACGATATCTCGTATATCCACACAACGAGAAGTTGACGCAATAGTTTTTTTTTCTTTTTTTTTTGTTCTCCGACACGGAGCATAGCTTAATTGATTTTGACGCCTGTAGCAGATACAATTCTCTTTAATGAGTTCGGGAGCTTTCGTTGCGTATACGCGCGATGTTTAAAAAACAAAACAAAAAAAAAATAACAAAAACCGCGGAGGGCTCCGTATACGCATCGAGTTTTTAAACGACGATGATTTATTGTTTGTATTGCTTTTCAACAATTCGAAAGTTTCGTCAATTATAAACATCGTGTATGTGTGTGTATGTGTGAGTGTACATGCGCCGGGCATTAAACTTAATTCACGTTGTAGCCGGCTATACATACACGATGATCGCAATCGCCGAGAAAAACGAGAGAGAGAGAGAGATGAATATCAAGTTCACGCTTTCGAAAAAGTTGGAGTATCGACGGAAGTCATTTCTACTATACATACACGCCGTTACCGCTGCTGCTACTCCTGCTCCTGCTGTACAGCTCATTATACAGCTCGTATTGTGTATTAGAAAACGACGATGTGAGGCAATTGCCTCTCATTGCATGCTCGTGTGTGTATGTGTACTTTATACATCGTGTGTTTTTTTCTTTATTTATTTTAACTCCTCTCCTATCCTATCCTCTTCTTTTTTTTCGTTGTTGTTAACGCAACGCGTACGTACGTATAGCGTTTGAGCTACTTCGTGCCTAATGAGTGACCCACATATTTATATTGACGCAAGTAATCGCGATAAAATTTAGACGCGGTATCTCTCCTTCTTTCCTGCAACAGGCAGTCCAACTGTTTAATATATCGAATAAACTTTTCGTTGGCGTCGTTCGAGAATGAATAAATTCATTCGTGCGCCGATATTTAATTTATATTTTATATCGTGAATAATCACAGCTTGATGGAATATAACGTCCGAGTCAGTTGCCAATCGCGAGTGGCCGCAGATGCTCGTTTAATTCTCGCGCGCAATTAAGTACGCGATAATAATGTACAACAATAAAAGAGAGAGAGACAGAGAGACAGGGAGAGAGCTTGCAAATAAATGCTCGAAACAGACGGCAGTAGCTGCTGCTGCTTTAACGTCGAATGCAGTGTTTGCGTTGCTGCGCGCGCGATAAACGTCGAGTGCAATTAACGGAGGGCAAGTATTGCTTATAGATCGGACGCGTATACACTACGTATACAGCAGCGAGGCCGCGCTATTATTAACACACGGACACACATACATAGTAGTATAATAGTCGTCGTCGTAGTCGCGCGCGGGTGGCACGGAGGAGATGGCGGTGGCGCAAAGGCACTCGTTAAATACTTCACATCGAAGGGTTGCTCTCTCCTCTCTAATGCCCCTACTCGCGCGGCGCTAATGACATTTTACCCGATAAATAGTCCGCGCGCACAAGCCACACGAGAGAGAGCTACGTCTATAGATATATATGGGCTGATCTAGCTGCTGCTGCGCGGCGCGTGCAGTCCCGGAGTTTTCGAACTTTATATAAAACGGCGGCGGTGGCGGCGCCGCATCCATCTCGAGCCGCGCGAAGGATTATTACTTATATATACCAGAAGGGAGAGAGAAAAGCATAAGCGTATAAAATAAACCGTATTCATCCGACTCTTGAGCTGCACGATCGTGTAATCCCGCGCTGCGGCTGAATTTATCAGTTTCAAAGGATATGATCCTTTTAACGACCGCAGCAATCGCGCGAGGGCCATCTTCTATGAGAAGATCCGTATTATATATATAGCGCACGTCGTATAGCGCGAAATATACGAGGCTTATCAAAGCATATAATGCTTAATGCCCGTGCGAGAGCAGAGTCGAGGCAAGTCGCGATCGGACACTCGCGACAGGGGGGGGGGGGGGAATAGATGAACCGGGAACGTTGTTATTGTTATGGGCAGCCGTGCGTCAATGACAGCCGCAATGCATTGCGTAATTAGAAAATTACGCGGTTAATTACAGTTCATACACTGTTAAATATATTTCCATCAAAATGGGTCCAAAAATTCATAGAAAATTTGATCTTTGAATCTAGCTCCGGTACTTGTAAAATTATTTTGACTTTGCCACTTGCAGATTTACAGATAAAGGTACTCGCCATCTAGTGGTGGGGAATCGTATTAAAAGTAATGTATGACATTCTGTTTCAAAGCATCGTTTGTAGAAAAATAAATCAGCTTTTATATTTCATGTAAAAGTAACCATTGATAAAATTCAGTATCGGTTAATTCAATTGTATTGACTGATTTTACATCAAATCTGGGGTTTTTTAACAGCAAGTATCTTCATATTACCAAGCAAGTCGACAATTATATCGGAAACGTAAAAATATAGGATAATAATGGACAGCAGACGCGTGACCCCAATCGACCTTCTTCCTCGACGTTTAAGATTAAACGTTTAACAAGACGCGAAGGAGAATAAAAATAATTCTAATAATTCGTTGCACTTTCAGAGCGTATATAATATAAGTATATACATGCGGGCGCGTCTAGGGTCCGTTTTTCCTGCAGTGCGGATCTGCAGCAGCACCAGAATTACGGGATGTAATTTGAAAAAAGAAGAAGAAGAAAAAAACGCAAACTCGACGCTATTTGGACAAGGCTCGTTTCGTCTCTAAATTGCGACTTTTAAGTTCTTCCGACCCCTTGGGATTCTTTGCGTAGGTTAGAACTTCTTCTTTTTCTTCTTCCTTTTTTTTTTGCCGAGTTCCACTTGCAAAGCGTTATGAAACGCGTGTAACGAATTACAAATTTCAATTTCTAACTCGATGCACGTTGTTAAATATGTAATTAATTTATCAATATTTGGTATCTTTGGGTTGTTTTGCCATAGCGG